TTGTATGCCTTACTTACTTACTTGAGTTATGCTTCCGTAACTTTAGAACTGCTATTTAACTCTTTCTAGTTTAATTACTGAGGGTAGCATTTACATCTCACTCACTTCAGTGCCAGCATTCATCACAGTCAATTTATATAGAATTATTATCTGTGAAAGACCAAGAATTTCTTTTTTCCTTTTTTCTTTTTTTTTTCCTCCTCATAGAGTTCCTTTAGGTACCTTGGATTGCAATGATCTGGAGTTTCTTGGCAAACTGTTAATATCTCAGTTTTGTTAATCTATTAACTAAATTTTAATATCCTAATTTTAATGTAAAAAGATTTGAAAACTAAGAAGATTTAGAAATGGTTAATTATTTCTTTGTCTCTAAAGAACTGGAAGGTATCGGTTCTATTGTACCCGTATGGGACCATGAAGAGCAATAATGAGAGAGCCACTACTATAAACCTAAAAGTTTAGCCTTTACTTTGGTGTGCCTCTTGGCTCTTGAATGTGTAACTATGTAACCTTTAAGTTATACTTAAGTACTTCTCAGTGGATCTGCAAAGTGGAGTTGTTTGTTTGAAATGTATGGGAGAAAGGTGAGAAAACAGTGAATGTGTACATGTAAGTGTATATATCTATGTATAAAAAATACAAAGTAACTGAGCAGCAGTAAAACACCCTCTTTTGGAGGTCTGAGTGATAGGTTTTATCACTGAAATTTAGAGAAAAATGTGGGGTCTTTACTCTGGTAAGCTCTAATCAAACATTCTTTTCATCTTTCCTCAGCAGTCTGTAGTGGGAGAATGGACTGAGTGATGCTTAGATAGCTGCATCAAATATTTTTTTTCCCTTTGACCTCATTTTACTTGGTTCTCAAAAACTTTGTTGAAGTGATATTGACAAGTTGCCCAAGTGTTAAAATAAGACATGGATTTTTTTGTTTAATCCTCTGTAAAATATGTAAATAAATATGCTAGCCTTTAAAAAATGTGCAAATAAAGCATGTTCATAATTTTCCTTGAAATTAAATTTCCTTGACATTTTTTTTTAAATTTTCCTTAGCAGAGTTATTAGCTGAAAATTATATTTATGCAATATATAATGGAAGGGCCTCATCTGCTTTGTACGTGTTACAAGTTGACAGAAACATCTATTCCAATTTTCTAGCTTCCTGGGAATCAATATTGCAGTGTAGTGCATGATTTGTTTAATTACACAGGTATAAAAAAGTAGGAAAAAGGCTACATCTGTTGGAGAAAGTATTATTTTCATAATTTCTTCTTGAAAACACAGTGCAACACAGGTATATAATGGCTACATGTCTTAAGATATAATGGACAGATCATAAAAATATATATGTCCATTCATACACTTCTGCAGATGTGTTGATTTTCAAGAGAAAAATATATGTTTAGTAAACCAAATACAGCATCAGTCTTATTTCAGTCTTGTTAGGCTTAGAATCCAAACCTCCTGAAAAATCAATACTGTTATTTGGAATATAAAATGCAAAGCCTTACAGCTATTTGGGCATATCAAGCTTCAAATTGTGCACATATCATATGATATATGAAAATTCTAACCCAGACTTTCTAAAAACTTTCCATGTGAACCTCCCCCATGATGTAGGGAGATAGGGATGTGAGATTTGTGCTTTCTTTATTATAAATTTTCTGAAATGTAATGGTTAGAGATAAATAGTAACCTTGTTAATCTGTAATATACCTATTTTTCTTCATAGTCTTTTGTTGGGGAACTTGCATAGGAAATGAAAGAACAGTGTTGCTGTGGAGATATGAAGGCTACTAGAGAGTAAACAAGGAGATTGAAGTAGACAGTGAGGAAAAATGATTAAACTCAAGAATGGAAAAAGAGGTGGGTTTTGGTTTTTGTTTTCTTTTTTTTTTTCCTTTCCTGAAAGGCTGGAATGGGAAAGGTGTGACAGGGACACAAAAGGGAGATGCATTGCCAATGGCAGACATATTTAAGAATGAAATTGAGTTGGAATCATAAGCTAATACTGACCTATTTTTCATGTGTGTAAATATTCTATGAGAAAATACAATGATATTTTCTCTGTATGACACTTCTAAAAAAATTTACTCTTTTTTATTTAAATCTTTTGTCACCTAAGGCCTCTTTCCCACATAAAACCCTCCCATAAAATAAAGTTAAAACTGGTGTTTTTCTGAGGAAGTTCTCAACTTTGTGAGTAGCAAGCATCTTACTGTGCTTTTAATAAATCAAAAAAACTATAGAACAAATAGTAAAATGTATTTCAAAAAGGATGCAAAGGGACATAATTTCAGTATGGTGATGTGCTAGTGGTGTGATTTCTAGTCAAAAGCACATCATGGTAAATGACTACTTTACATTATAGAAAACCCAAGTGAAGTGAAGATTACAGATTTCACATCAGGAGGTGCATGATTTCATTTGGAATCACATACTTTCTTCAGCTGTGAAACTAGATATGAAATGTGCATAACATGCACTTTCAGATCTGCTTCACTCTATGGATCTTCTATTTTCTCATGTAGACACAGCCTCGGGGAGTTGAGGGAAGCGAGGGGAAATAAAAGCCTTGTGAGACAAATTTGAATGATCGCAAGAAGAAAGAATATGACAGAACTGGAGACAGAGATGCAGTGAGATAGAGAGATGGTGGCAATCTTGCTAAAGAAGGCTGGAGTACATTGAGAGAGCTATGGGGAGATCTTGAGAACATTGAGAGAGCTGTGAGGTCTTGAGCACAGCGTAGGAAAAAATGGGAATGAAACAAGGAGTCTGATTCTAACTGCTGTGGATAGCACCACAGCACATATGTAGTTTGAAAGCTAATATTCGTTTGTTGTTTGGTGGCTATCTTTGAAGTTTGTGGATGAGTGTTGATTGTGCCACCTCCTGTGCTAGCCTGTGGTGCTACCTTGGCTTTTCTAGAGAAACCTCTTTACACTCATGCAACAACTTTGAAATAGATTTTAGTGCTTCAATTCTGGTGCCAAGCTCTGCAGGCATGTCAACAAATTCTATAGATGGAGTATACTTTAAATTTCTAAATAGCAAACAGGGCAAACTTTGCTCTGATGATTTTGATTTACAGCATTTTTCACGTCTTAAGCAGCTTGCTTTGCAGGCTTACCCTTTGTCAAAGGGTTTGTGTGTTAGCCCATACCAGTATGCGTGGCACATGTGACACCATTGTTGGAAAAAGGATCTTCACACTGCACCATTTGCAGCAAGTGAATTCAAGCAGGCAGACTTTTGTCTCTTGTAACTTTATTACTCCATAACTCTATACAGACTCTACAGTCTCTGTACAGACTCTGGGTCCAAGCTCTCCAGTCAGGCAGATGTTTTCTTATCTCTCACATACCACACACATCCATGTGACTGAACAACCATGCTTCAAGCGGCTTTCCAACTTGACCTTGTGATTGTTTTCACACACACACTGCTCTTAACTCTGGCTAGCTCAGGACCACAATATTATTGCTTTAATATTTTCTTCTTCTTCCTTAGCTGCTCCTACAAGTATGAGCACATGAAACTGTCTTGCTTGGTTGAGGTGTTTGAATACCTCCAGATTCCTCTGCTTAGTGGAAGTTTACTGGAATTTCGTTTGGGTTCTGATGCTGCTCCAAATGTTTGGTACCTTTTAAATATAAATAAATTTTTAAAAGAAAAACAAACACAAAAAACAAGAATTCATATCCATCCAGTAAGTAACTTCATCATTTGTATTTGTTCATTGCCAGAGGCTCTCACCAAAATGACAAGATATACCAAGATTTTAATTTAGAATCTCAAGAACCAACACTGTCATGGCATTAGAGTAAGTTAGTAATTGAGGATGCAAATATGTTGCTCAATGGTTGAGACATCGCTTCAGCCCCTCAAGGGTAACAGCAGCTGCCAAGTGCTAAGGCAGCTGGTTATTGATGGTAAAGGCTGAGTGCCCACTGGCGAAACAACACTTCAGGCACTGGCTGGGGAGTGCTACCGATGGGGAAGGAGGAGGTGGGAAAAGCAGACATAAATTGTATTTGGCTTGGGCTATAATGCCAGAGAGAAGAGGGTTTTGCTGCTAAAGTCAATAGGACTTTGTCACTGTCTTCCACATGAGGTCTCTGGCACTGTAAGAACACATCTATGCCTGGATCTGGCCAGCATATCTCCAAACTAGACACTAAAATCTCTATTTAGAAGAGAAACAGAACCACTTAATAGGGTATTAGATAATCCCTACCTGTTACAGTGCAATCATTTTGCAACCATTGAAACTTTTTAGCCATCAAAAGGGGAAAATATGGAATTTTCTACTCCCTGGGGACCTCTCTGTGACAGCAATTAAAGACTTTCTATTAACATGTTAAATGTATCTGCTTTTCTATCTATCTGATATTAGTGATGAATATGAGCCAGAATGTTACACTAATAGCTCTGCAAAAATATTCAGCTTCAGATCTTGAGTTTTCAGGTTAAACTTTCTGCAGTTGTACTTTTTAACTACCTTTGTCTTGCTTTTTGATACAAAATTAATCACAATTTTCCAACTTTATTTAGCTCTGGAATCAAGACAAGCAAACCTTGTTTCTCATCCCGAGATGGCAAACTAACCTTAGATTAAGATGTTTAAAGAAAATCCAGAATAACAAAAACTTATTTTGCATAATATTTCTTTCAGCAGTTTAGCATGGCTTTTGCATGGCTTTAATTGCAGAAAAAAATGCATCTGTATACTGTATTTTCCATCTTAAATGTCACCTTTTAAGTTTACATTCAAATATATTCTCTCTGTATATATATATATATGTATAAATAAATTTACAGATTCCATTGTTACAGCATCTTTATTATATTAAATTGTAAGTAAGAGATTTTTCTTTAGCTTTTAGTTTCATAAAAGCTAGTTTTTGAGATCAATTAGGAGAGATTCACCTGGCAGCAGAATAAATCATATTCTTGAGTTCCTCCTGGGACATTATGAGACTGTTCATTCCTATTTTCAGGTCCAAGTTTTCAATCCCAGAGACTGGAAGTTCATTTTGCTCTGTGGCTGGAAAGAAGTCCTACTCTGTCCTGTGAGTAGACAAGTGGTTCATCTTTCTGTGGGACACTTTCATTATAAGAGAGAGGTTCTATCTTTTTAGCAGTTATGAGATCGCTTGATTTGTGAAGGTCATGCTCTCTTCTTTGCGTTGCAGCTGGTAGAAGTGGAAAAGGGAAAAAAAAAGGCAATTTTGCAGAGACTTAAGCTCTTATCAACTTCAGTAGCTTTTCATGTGGGTCATCCCCCGCTTCCTTCTTAGTCCTCTCAATGTGTGTGTTAGCATCATTTTTGTTGAGGGAAGAGAGATGAGACCATAAAGATAACACTTAAAGATAACATCAATCAGGTAAAGAGGAAAACTTAATTACAGTCCTTTTTAGAAGAGAAGTTAATATATTCTGTTTGAATACATTGGTTTTTTATGCTTTCTAAGCTGTATTGGTGATATAGGCATAATATGGACACACTAAAAACCTGAAAATACTTCTGCCAATGTCTGTCCATAATATCTTCACATTTTCACAAAACTGTGTGCAGGTTTCTACATGCAGTGTGAATAAATGTGACAGTTTCTGCTTCTTGAAAGAAATAATCTATCAGCTTTGTATAATTGCATTTTTCACAGTTCTGTCAGCTGGGAAGAGTCTTTGACAAATAAGTACTGCTCAGATTAAACTCAAGATGCAGTAGACCACTGAAACTGACAACTCTTATCTGAATAAGGAAAATAAACAGATTAAGTAAGAAGATACTGTGGTGCTTTAATTCATTAATTACTTATAAGTAAGCCATCCTGCTTTTGTCTGGTATAGAGTTAATTTCTTCACAGTAGCTGGTACAGTGCAATGGTTTGGATTCATTATGAGAATAATGTTAACAAACACACTGATATTTTGCTTGTTGATAAGTAGTGTTTACCCTAAGTCAAGGACATTTTTTTTTTTCAGTGTCTCATGCACTGCCAGTGAGGAGGTGCACAAAAAAAGCTGAGGGGGAGCACAGGCAGGATAGATGACCTGAAGTGGCCAAAGGGATATTCTGTACCATGGAACGTCATGCTCAGTATATAAACTAGGGAGTTACCTGGAAGGGGGTCCAATTGCAGTTCAGGAACAGGGTCTGGCATCCATCAGCAGGTGATGAGCAGTTGTACTGTGCATCACTTGTTTTTCCTTGGATTTTACTTTTTAATTATTATTATTATTATTATTATTATTATTATTATTATTATTTACTTTGTTTCCAATTATTAAACTATTCTTATCTCAACCTACAAGTTTAACTTTTAATTCTTCTCCCCATTCTACTGGGTGGAGGGGCAGGTGAGTGAGCAGCTATGTGGTGCTTAGTTGCCAGTTGGACTTAAACAATGACATAAGCAAAGAAACACAGTCTTTGCTTTTCCAGAGACCAGTCTGACAGTATTGCAACAACTTTAGATTTTCAGTTTCTGCTTATTCCATTGTTATTGCTAAAAGAAAGATACACAGCTTATATTTTGTTGGAGTAATATTCCTTTCTTTGCAGAAGAGAAAAATGAAAATACACATTCCATCTATAAGTAGACTGTGAAAACTGAAAAATCTTCCCTCCAATGTGTGCCTGTGGGAGAATGAAAGATTATTCTTTTGAGAAGCCAACAATGTATATACCAAAAGAGTAAATGTCTGATTAACGTTTCTGTATGGCTGCAACAACATATTGAGGTGTTTTTCTTTAATTAAACTTGCATAATAGATGCTTTCTGAAGGTTAAAGATAAAAATCTGGTTTTATGCAACAAATGCTGATACTTGCCTCTAACTGAAGTCTTAGGCAAGTTCCCAGTAGTGTAAGGTTTGAATTTTATGTTCTTGTTTTATTTTTTTATCCTTAGAGTCATAATCCTAACTTCATAAGGAGAAATGCCCTATACAGTTTTAGCTCACATACCAGTCTGCTTGATGCTCTCTGAGTGAATGTTGCTATGACTTCAGATCAAAGAGAGGCAAAATAATTGTTAGTGATATAGTTATAGCCTACCTGCAGGGAGGTCTGAGGAAGGGCACCCCTGCAATACCCAGATCAAGTAGAGATAGTAGAACGAAAGAATGCCATGATTACCTAAGGAAAGGTTGGCAAAGTAGACAACTGTTTCAGAAGCAACAGCATTCTCTATAATTGTTTTATTGAAGCTGATCAGCCTCACATGTTGGGAAAACATGCATGTGAAATCACATCTGCAGAGTCCTTTGATGTTTGAAGAAATGGTAGTGCTACCATGGTTATCCTTGTCAGAGGCACACTTATTAAGGAGGAAAGGAGATGTGGAAGTGTGTGCTAACTACCTCTTGAGTTAGGGACTAGCTTTAGCACGACCAAGATCATTTACTAGACAAAGACTTGTGCTCTCTTACAGCTGTTCTGTCCTGATTGCAACTACATCTCAGTCATGACAAAAACAACACTGAACATAAATGACTAAGGTCACTCTTCTGCAATTGGGAGTACTCAGGATGATTCCTGTGATACTTCCAGAATTAGCTACATGAAAAATAAACTTGGGTCTGAGCTAGACTTTACTCAGAGGAAAATAAAGCTGGAAAGCTTTTTCTTGTGAGAAAAAAGTACAATAGGAACTTCAAGTACTTGTAAACTATGTTGAGAGGAAGGACAGTTATTTACATAATGTGCAAATAGTTTTTTTTTACTTTAGGAAAATGCTCTGAACTTCTTGTTGAACATGTGCTCATATGAGCTGATTTTAGAACTCAGAAGTTCTTTTATGAAATCAGATCTCATGAGCTTAGGATATTATGTTCTGTAATTGACTAGTCCACAGATCACAAAAGCAGAAAAGGCGTGGGGCGGCCCAGTTCTAGTTCCGTTTCCATCTGAAGAACCATTGCAACGCTTTGAAGGATGGGGAAAGAGAACTCCAGGGGTTTCTCAGGAGTCTCTTCTGGCCCTGAGCCTGGAGGGGAGAGGTGCTCCCCCCTCCCCCCGCACGTGGCCCCATGGCCAGCAGGGAGACAGGACACCGGGCATGGAGAGGAGGCAAGAGAGAGTTTGTTGTTGGGGATGTTACATTTATAGGGTTTAGGAGGATTCACAGAGTAACCAATTAGAAGTCTCAAGGGGCTTACAGGAACACCCAATCACAGGAAGAGGTTAACAAAGGCCAATGGGAAACACCTCAGGACACCTTCCCAGGACATTCCTGCATGGATAACATGTGGGGTGCTGGGAAGAAGAAGCATGTGTTTGCAAAGAGACCACCAAAAGCCATTTTAAGACATGTTTAAACAACAGTTTCCCTATATAATGCAGGTTTAATGCTACAGGAAAATGCTCTGAACTTCTTGTTGAACATGTGCTCATATGAGCTGATTTTAGAACTCAGAAGTTCTTTTGTGAAATCAGATCTCATGAGCTTAGGATATTATGTTCTGTAATTGACTAGTCCACAGATCACAAAAGCAGAAAATGTCTGGAGACTATCTTATGTGCTAAGATTTTAAGCAGATGTATTATTTGCATCATATAAGATAATAGAAATATATTTTTTCTGGAGTTTTGACAACTTATTTTCAATATCTTGAATATGTTGGGATTCAGGGGTCTCATTTAACTGAATCTGGCTGTGTGTGCCTTCATCCTCAAGCAGTGAAGTAAGCTAGCAAGGGGAAGAGAGATGCTTGGACTTGTTGAGAAAAGTAGAACATATGTGTCTATATACACCAAAGATCTATATTTGTCATATATGACACCTAGCAATTTACAAGCCATTTCACCAAGACATTTTACATGCTAACACTTAATTATGTAATTTCATTTTACTTTTATAACAGGTACTATAATAAAAAAAAGCACCAAACAAGTAAATTTGAAGTATTTTAGTTGTCTTGGTCTTTTGTGCTATTCATTTAAACATATGCAATTATGAACAATTTTCTATTTAATTTCATTTAGGAAATCTACTGGAGTTGCTTTATTAAAATCAGAATAGTTTGAGTTGGAAGGGACTTTTAAAGGGTCATCTAGTCCAATCCCCCTGCAATGAACAGGGGACATCTTCCACCTAGATCAAGTTGCTTAGAGCCCTGTCCAACCTTAAATGTTTCCACGGATGAGGCATCTACCATCTCTCTGGGCAACCTGCTCCATGTCTCACCATGCTCACCATAAAGAATTTTTTCCTTACATATGGCTTGATTCTGCCTTCTCTTAGTTAAAACCATTACCCCTTGTTCTGTCATAACAGGCCCTACTAAAAGTCTGTCCCCATCTTTTGATCCCTATCTTTAGGTAGCAAAAGGCTGCAGTAAAGTCTGCCTGGAGCCTTCTATTTTTCAGGCTGAACAACCCCAAATCTCTCAGGCATTCCTTGTGGGAGAGGTGTTCCACCCCTCTGATCATCTTTGTGGCCCTCTTCTGGACTCGATTCAACAGGCCAGTGTCCTTCCTTGTGTTGGCAGCCTCAGAGTCTGATGCAGCCCTCCAGGTGGGGTCTCATGGGAACAGGGGGCAGTATTGCTTCTTTTGATGCAGCCCAGAATGTGGTTGACCTTCTAGACTGCCAGTGCACATTGATGACTCATGTCCAATCTCTCATTCACCAGCACCTCCAAGTCCTTAGTAGGGCTACTCTCTCTCTGTTCATCCCCCAACCTGTACTGATACCAAGGGTTGCCCCAGCCTAGATGCAGCATCTTGCACTTAGTCTTGTTAAACCTCATGAGATTCTCGTGGGCCCACTTCTTGAGCTTGTTCACATCCCTCCAGATGGCATCCTGTCCTTCAGGAGTGTCAGCCACGTCACTCAGCTCTGAAACATGCATAGACAAAAACGGAAGTTGATTATTTTATAAACATCAAGGTTCAAATACCTTCTTGTGTGAAATAGAACATTTATTTTCTTTGAAATGATGTTTCATTATTCCTTAATTTCACAGGAAAATTTTGTATGTAAAATGGCTACTCCATAGCTCCCATACACCTTATTGTAAATATTGAAATACCAGCACAAAGAACTCTTTAAAATGACAATTAT